GTCGTCGCACTCGCGACTGGGCACTCACGTCACTGTTGAAGTCATAGCTTTGAAGTTGTAGATAATTTCGTCTATCTTGGAACCAGCGTAAACACCACCAACAATATCAGCCTAGAAATGCAACGCAGGATAACTCCAACAGGTGCTACTTCGGACTGAGTAGGCAATTGAGAAGCAAAGTCCTCTCTCGACAAACAAAAAAAAAACTCTATAAGTCACTCATATATCCCGTCCTGCTATATGGTGCAGAGGGTTGGACGATGTCAACAACAGATGAGTCGACGTTGCGAGTTTTCGAGAGAAAAGTTCTGCGAAAGATTTATGGTCCTTTGCGCGTTGGCCACGGCGAATATCGCATTCGATGGAGCAATGAGCTGTACGAGATATACGACGACATTGACATAGTTCAGCGAATTAAAAGACAGCGGCTACGCTGGCTAGGTCATGTTGTCCGGATGGACGAAAACACTCCAGCTCTGAAAGTATTCGACGCAGTACCCGCCGGGGGAAGCAGAGGAAGAGGAAGACCTCCACTCCGTTGGAAGGACCAAGTGGAGAACGACCTGTCTTCACGTGGAATATCTAATTGGCGCCACGTAGCGAAAAGAAGAAACGACTGGCGCGCGGTTGTTAACTCGGCTATAATCGCGTAAGCCGTGACTACGCCAATCAAAGAAGAAGAAGAAGAAGTTTGTATGACAATTATATATGTGTTATATGTAGTGGACCGATCTGAACAGTGTGTTCGGAAAGTACGTCATTACATTAGATTGTTTCTCGAAAAGATATCATCAAATAAATAAGTTGTCCATACAAGGATTACATTTTTATAGACGAGTTTGCATGACAGTTTATACTGTAGTAGTCCGATATCGGCGGTTCGACAATTCAGCAGCTTCTTAGAGATAAAAAGACGTGTGAAAAATTTCAGATCAATATCTCAAAAACTGAGTTACTTGTTCGGATAGACGAGCATGACTGCATACATGGTTTGACTTTCATCGGCCTTTTCAGGCAAGGAAGCAAAAAAAAAAGTCCGGAAGAGCCACATCTTGGCTGTAGGGCGGTTTCCGAAGCGTTGGAATGCCGACCTTGGTTAGGTAGCTGTTGTTAGGGCGTTGTCGCGGTGCAACTTCCAATCGGCTGCAATGTCTTGTCGGACCCGACTGACCTTTCGTTTCCACGCAAAACTTGACGTTGACGATTTGTGCAGGAGGAACAAATTCATGGCGGGCATGCTGTCTTTGATGTCAATAAAGACAATGAGCATCGTTTTCACTTTTGGATTTTGCTCATTTCTGTCTTGGAGTCCTCGGAGACAACTGACCAGCCGCTCGTTCGTTAGCTAGGAACGCGCTCTGCCGAATCCAGTCGGTGGACGCACGCTCTGAAGTATAGTCGCGGCGGAAGAAAACCAATTCTATTACTTTTCGGACAAGCCCTGTATGTAGTATATGTATACTTATATTTATTTTATAGGGTCTCCCAACGTTTCCTCCAATCTAGCAAACTCTGTAGCGAACTTTGAAGGGTATACAGAAGAAAAACCAGTTTATCATTGTACATTTTAATTTATAGCCACCCTGTATGCAGTTGCGCTTACTATGCTATATCACATGCCATAAGAAAACAGTTAAGCACAATGAAACGGTAAAATAATGCCCCAACCAAGGTGACCCTATCTTTAGATAGCCAACACAAATTCGAAGATAAATTGTGAGCCGAAGTAAGTGTATACCTAAAGTCGATGCAACTAAAAAAAGGTGGAGCAACACCAAAGGTGCGCCGGCTAAGCGCACAAAATTTGGCACCTTGAGATAGAGCGCCTCTGTTCTGGCCAAACAACACAACTAAGCAAGTCTTCGAATGGCTTAGAGACCAGCGACAGTAAACGACTTAACGACACGGCTACTTAGTACACCATACAATAAAAGCAGAAGACAGAATAATTTGATACCGAAAATGTGCCGCCGAGTGCCCAAATATTAATAGGTACTTGATTCGTAGTATCTCCAATAGTTTGAGCATTTCTTGTTTTACACAAACAACTGCCCGGCCAAATGATATCTCTTAACTTCCGTACTTTTGTACGAGTATATATTTATGTAGCAGCAGCACTATAACTGCAAACGAATCCATAAAAAGTTATATGCGCCATCCAATCGGCCAACGTCCGCTCGTCCGCTCGTCCGCTTGTCCATGCGTCCACTCAACCACTCATCCGTTGGCACGATGGCATGTGTCAGAGCGAGTTGGCAAATATCCAGATACACAGATACAGAAAATTATATTGTTGCCCGAGTAAAATTCCATTTCATGCTTTCGTTTCGTCGTTAAACGATGAGTTTGCCAGTTTTTCAAGTAGTTCGAGTTTGGGTTGGTTCGTTACACATTGGGACGCAATGCTTGATTTTCATACAATAATGGCAGCTGGGCAATGATGCTAACGACGATAATCCCCAACTGTATAGCAGATATAAAGCCAAGGCAGCGATGCAGGGAAGCAGAAATATCTACAATGCGTGTATATTTGTTAGTATGTCTGTTAGTCTGCTTGTATAAGTAGAATCTGCTTTGCGCGTACATACATATATTTCACACTATGGTATGTACATTGTAGGAGCATTCAAGAATGGGATCATTGCTCATGGGGTATTTGAACCACTGCTGCTATAAGTCCCCGAAGGGTAGCATTGAATATTTCATTTTTTTAGAATGTAGAGACTGAATTTTTGCTCATCAACTCATTGGGTTGAATGAATTTGGCACACCCCTCGTCCGTATAACACGACCGTGTTCGATATAAAAAGTTTACGGATCGAGCATGCTCACAGCAACAACACATATAATGGAATTATGCACTTAATAGGGGAATGTGCTAACACATGTTCAAATATATTTTATAAATATATGTGTATGTATGTATAGTTGTGTGTTAAGAGCAAATGACGAGAGGCCTTATGCTAGCGCTGTGTGTGCGCAACCAGAAACTGTACTGGGGTGGGTCCACACCTCAAATGAATTGTAGAGAATAATATCTAACAAAAAAAATCAAATTCAGATGTTTTTCAACAGATGACTAAAGTTTTTGTTTTGTGTTGTTTCTGACAGAAAATAGATTTGAGATTTTAATAGTGCGGGTGAGATTATAAGCAACAAGGAACTACGTAATGGATTTTTTTAAATGGTTTTATTTAGCTCACCCCGTTTATTTTATTTATTATTTATTCTTGGGTCAAATTTAGTAATTAAAATTTCAGCCTCTTCCTGTCAACCGATTAATCTGAAATTTTGTATACACTTTGGATTTTGGTGACAATACAATTATGTTTATTCATTATCATTATAAATTCAAGATGACCGCCGCTACAAAATGGCGGATAACGTAGGTTTTATCAATCCCATCAACATGGGTATCAAATGAAAGGTCTCAAGAAGTAGAATACAAATGGCGCTATAGGCTACATCAACGAAATCGTTTGGCCTCAATTTCGTCGAACTCAGATGTATGCAACAGATGTACCTTCCATCCGAATTGATTTCCCAAGAGACAGAGTACATGTTATACACCCGAAAGCCATACAGTTTCCAGCTAAGTACAATTACGGAACGGCTAAAAGAAGAATGTTGCCTTTAATACTATCATAGGCTTCTACAATACATAAAATGCAGGGCAGCACTGTGGATCACGCAGTCGTATACTTAGGTGCGAAACTGTTTGAAGAAGGTCAAGCCTACGTGGGTCTTAGTAGAGTAAGATCTTTGCAGGGACTACGTATAGAGATGTTGGACTGCAAGAAAATAACGGGCAAGAAGCCTTGCAATAATGAAGCACTAAATGAACTAAACAGAATGCGAAATAAAAACTAAAAACTAGAAAATAAAAGTAGGAAAAAAAACTAGAAAATAAAAGTAGGTAAAAAAACTTTTTAAGTTAAACGGTTTTATGTTAAACATACATTGAAATCTTTAAGATAAATGTACTAAAAACCAAAAATTAATAAAATAGATACAGTCGTGGGAATTATAAACATATGCATAGACTACACTAAAATAAAACCGTGGGGCACGTCCCCATTTTCCAATCCCGAAATTTCGGGATTAATAAAAAAATAATGTTTCTTAAATTCCGAAATTGTAATTGGAATCACGGCAATACAGCTATGTAACAAACATATATATGTCATTTTATTTCGGGGTCAGAAGAAAATAAAAGACAGTGACAAGAAACTGGAAATTCGAAATTTCAAACAAAATGCCATTTAATAACGAAAAGTATCCGAAATTTTATTTAACCGTTTCTAATATTTTTTTTTAACCCCTAAATTTCCTCAAAATAAAAATCCTGAAATTACAATTACGAATTTTCGGGACCACAAAGACAATCTGATAAATTTATTTATTTATTATAATTTTTATTCTTTTATTTATTAATTTTTTTTTTTTTTTTTTTTATGAAAACAATTTTCAATCAATTTCTTCCAAAAGAAATCCCGAAATTGCAATTCCGAGTTTGCAGGACCAATATTGCATATCTGCAACGCCTAATTAATCAGTTAGTTATCAAGAACCAGCTTAAAATTCTACTACGACGATCGTGACGTTAGGTAAATCGGTTTTGACTTGAAGCTCACTATCCACTAACAAGTCCTAAATAAATACTTTGATCCAGAAGCTTGAAATTTTCACGTGAGCTTTGATCTTCGTTTGTGCTTCTGTAAGCAATAGAATCTATCCGGTCTGGCACGTAATGAGCAATTAAATAGTAGTGGTCAAAGGTTGATGAAAGTTATTATGTAGCCTGGCTAGTAGGTTCAAGAGCTCTAAGCTCATATATTTGATTTTTGATTAACACCTAATTAAAACCTAAACTTTTCAGGTCTATGCTTTTAGTTATATACTCATATGCAATATATCTAAGATAGAAGGTTTTCAGATGTGTATTAACCGATAGATTTCCACTAAACGACTAGAGAATTTGTTAATGATTCAATTCTCACCTATTTACAGGAATGTTTCGAAACATTTATGGTCGACCTTTGAAATGAGAAATCGGTTATTTTAAAACATCAATGGTCCCCTTTTTGATTATATGTATAACTACAGCTCGGCTCGGGCTATAACCACGTACGCGGTGTCTACGCCAGTAAAGAACTGCAGCTCGTTTGAAGCCCCTGTAACGAAAAATAAATTAATAATAAATAGACATAAATTAAATCAGAAATATTAAATATGGTAGCTCAAAAGTAACTTGCCGAAAAAAATTTAAACACAAAACTATTTAAATGCATAAATTTACGTAACCACAACCAACTTTCCTCCCTTAATATCCTGATTTGAACTCTATGCCCACTGTGATGTCTATAAATAATTTAATTTATAGATTTCCCCCTTTTGCTGAAATGAATAATGCATAAACAATACCGTTAAAAAATGGTTTCAACACACACATACACTTTGAAATAACAGTAAACTTATACAGATGCATTTTTATATTAACCAATACCAATTCACCACAGACGCACGCACATAGAACACCACACAAGACACCTCCTTGCGCGCCAATACGAACTGTTTTCACCTCACTCGCATATTGCGCTTTTTATAGACCCGTGCCCTAAAACTTACCCGACAACTTCGTACAGCTTTTATTACACCATAGTATCATAAATAAAAGGACCCCTAAACGTGAATGTTGGGCGTATAATAAAATGGTTTTATAAATGCTTATACATTGTATATAAAGCACAGAGGCGCTAACAAAATGTATATATGGTAAGTGGGTGTGGGTCTGTCATGATATGAGGGCGTATTTGTACGCCAAGCAAAATGTTCGACTAAAAGTCGCTCTCGCTGCGCTGCACGGCCCCTAGCAGCAACGGACGCCAGTCGTATGGGTCGTCAGTAGTCGGTTGTCGGTTGTCGGCTCCCGATTGTCGCTTGCACGGCGTGGAGACCCAAATCGGCTGAGGCAACCTCGATAAATGTGCGCTGTGCGCAGTTCAACGACTCCACAACAGATATGTACACCAAATCGAATACATACAGAATATATATATATACATATACGAAATCGAATACATACAGAATATGTATATGTATGCCGACATCTACATGAATACATCTCTCAGGTTGTTATAATTTCTCGAAATGACTTCAGGCATCATTATAGCAGGTATGCGCGTGTAAAAATACATTTCTGAAAGTTGAAGTGCCGTGCATATGAGTTTTCTGTTGGTAGCCTTGTGGACCAACGAACCCGTTTAAGTACTCTCAAGCACACATATATATGCTATAGACTAATACCAGCATCTATAAGTGGGTTGCTTATAGCTGCCACTGTATGTAAACATGTGCATTAGCTAGCACTTACCGCTCGAGTTGTTATACTACTTTCAAAGCCCGAAACTAAAAGCCTTGGAAACTGCGCTATTCACAAAGTCGTCACAAAGTTTTTAGAAGTGAACACAGAAACGAGCTCGAGTATAATAACCAAAGATAGGTAGCTCATAATAAACTACCATAGAAGGTAGCGAGCCGTACAAGCAAAGAAGAAATGAAAAAACCAGCAAGCCAAGCGACGCGCCAGGTGAGATGATCGAATAAACGACTGTCGACGCTCAACGTTGAAGCAGCAAGCAACCAAAAAAGCAGCCAACTAACTAACCAACCTTTCTATCTCTATCACATTATACCATAAAAGCGACGCTACGGAACGAACTATGTACATAAGTATAACTCACCGATGGATGGCCTCACGGCTGGGTCTCAATAGCTTTTGTTTACTTTCCACCACTGACTGACTGACTGAAGACGACAACGACGATACGATACGATGACAGCAATGTAGACTACGACGAGTCATGCTAGCGACATCACTAACAGCTTGATTGTATTCACCGACTTTTTCTACATCATCATCAATACCGACAACAACCATACAACGACGTACAATATACCCAACTGTTGTTGTTGTTGTTGTTATGAACGCCTCCATTTCTTCTGATGCAGTCGGTATAGACGTCGTAGGTAGTCAGTCTTTCAGTTGGGTTCTGCTGCTTCTTCTGCTTAAGTCGCTGCGCATCGCAGCGTCATCGACAACATCGTACAAAACTACCGAGTATACTACCGACGACACAACGAACTCGTCGTATGCATCTACAGCTTACCTCTTACCTTGGCACCGCACATAAGCCTGCGTTGCTGCCTGAGTGTTTTTTTTTTTTTTGCCTTACCTAGTCTACCTCTAAGCGTTTCGTCCCAGCAACCACAGTGAACGCGACCAACAAACCATCCCAACCAAGCAACCATCTATGCAGCAGTCAGTCAGTCATTTATACAAACTTCCCTCCACGGTATGAGTGTATAATACCATATATGTATATATACACAGGGTATTTGTGTGTGTGTTCGTGTGCATATTGTATAGTGTTGTTTTTGTGCTTATACATCGAACAACGCTTGGCACTGACGACTCACGACTAACGACTACGGATGCCGGGCCACACTATGCTTGGAGGATTTTCGTCTATATACGCGTATGGAAAAAACGAGTATTATTTTGGGGCGCACGAGACCTCGACCACCAAGTCGGTTGTACGTACGTTTCATTTAGTGCTGAGCAGTCGCTTTGAACGTTTGTAATTTTGTCAGCGCGCTCTTCTCCTCGCTGATGGTGTAGTATCATTATACTTTTTTCACTACTACTCTATACGAACGATACTTTTGTGATTATTATTGTTGTAGTATCTAATATTTGTGCTGTACTTGGTATTAGGCGTTCAAAGAACATAGAACACAGAAGAACGTTGGCGCTCTCTCGCCTTAGCTGCTGTTTAACTTGAATATTAGTGAGTGGAGTGTTTGTTTTTTATTCCTCGTTAAAGACGCTTTGATTCCGAACGCTTAAAAAATACTACGGAACAGCTTGTTTGTTGTGTGACGCGCGCTTTACTGGATATAAAAGTTGATTCAGAAAGTAATCATTGATTAGCATTGACAAATAAGTATATATTTACGAGCGTTCATAACAGTAGCGCTGCGAAAGTGGTTCTTAAAATAGAAAGAAATAGTTGTCATATCGCAAACGGAGGCCAGCGCGTGAAACCGCTCGAATATATAGACATTATAAGTATAATTGGTGTGTTGGGACCTATCGACGTCGTCTATAGGAGATTGTGTCCACTGACACCTGAAATTTACTCAATACGCATACAAAAGCCGGTGTGTTGTGTACGTGTGTAACGGTCACGCAAAAAAGCGCAAGAGCGCGTTGAGTGGATACGACAACGAGGCTATCAAAACGACTCAGACAAGAGACGGGGTCTTGAGAATTGTGCTGGTGTGTGTGGTTGTGCACGAACAAGGTAATTATCAATCATATGTGAATATTTTCATACATATATAGACATATGTATGCATATACATATACACACATGCATATTAATTAGTTTGTATGCGTTAAGACGCGGTCTTTTGTTGTTGTCATTACGTATTTCACTGCATTTTATTACTTGTTATTATTAACGTTGTTACAGCTACCGCTTTTTTAAGTGTTTGTTGTTGTTTATATTAGTGTTTCGCACAGCTGATATTGTAAGCGACATAAACTTTGTTGCGCTGTTGAGTGTTTATATATGTGTGTGTGTTTCGATTGACAACTGCTTGTGATTTCGTGCGTGATATTTCAGATTTCGCAAGCAGCAAGCAAGAAAGCCGGCTGACTACATACTTGACTTTCTTAGAGAGCAGATTGTTGAAAAGAAGAACAAGCATTTCTTCATTTTTAAAATTTTTCTGATATGATCTGTTAAAGTGTTACACAGATATACATACATACTATTAAACAGATAAATATGCATTTTTTGGAATCGGATTTGTCATGACTAATGGAGCATTGTTTTTGTATTCAATAATAACAAAAAAATACTTTAGCGCCAAATAAGTAGCATGACAAATGGAAAAATATTTGTCAGTTATTTTGAGTGCTTGCCAGCTGTGTTTAATAGACGTTCAAAACCCGTTATTAATGATTTAGATCACAGTAATATAAACATTCACGACTTATAGTCATACTAACGAGTTCAAACAGTTATTAGTCATCAAATCATCAATGAATATACTAAAGTATTACGAATACAAAAATCCTATTTTATTATAGACTAAAAGACACAAGCTGTGAACAACAACTAACCAAAATTAAATGAGAAAATATTTTATCTTCCGTGCGTTGCTTTAATAACTTTCAGAAATAAAAACGTTTTCAAAATAAACTTGATTTTGTGCCCTCATTTTTTATTTCATCGATATGTTATTGTAAACCGATTTGAGAATATTTGAGAATCAGAGATTCTAGCATTGCCTTGGACAATAATCCATGCGAAATTTCGTGAGTTGTCACTTGTCGTGTCAAATAAAAAAATTTTCCATACAAGAACTTGATCCTGATCGAACAGTTTGTATGACAATTATATGATAAAGTGGTCCGATCTGAACAATTTGCTTTAGAAAATCCATGCCAAATTTCATGAAGATATCTCAACACATAAAAAAGTTTTCTATACAAAGACTTAGTATTGATCGGTCAATTTGTATGACAGCTATATGGTATAGTGGTCCGATGTCAGCGGTTCCGACAAAATAGCAGCTTTTTAAGGAGAAAGTGAGGTATGCCAAGTTTCATATCGATATCTCAAAAGTTCATGAACTAATTCGCGTATATACAGACAGGTGGTGGTGGACTTGGCTAAATCTACTTCACTCATCACGCTGATCATTTACTTACATACATCACTTTTTTATATAGTTTCTCCTACGTTCTTTTTGGGTTGTTACAAACTTCGTAGCATATTTTATATACCCTGTTCATGGTATAAAAAAAGTGTAGTACAAACTGCTGTGGGGGTTAAGAACCATACAATACATATTAGTGGTGACGAAAACCACCCTTACAATAATAGTTTTTGAAGATGTATCATTAATCTCTTAAGAGCAATATAATGAATACATCAAAGCTACAGCGAAGCTGGAAAAAAAGTCTGCTCTCAATTGGTTCTAACATCTAATCCCAACAACAATCAGCATCATACTGACATACACACACATTTGTATCTTGAGATTGTATGTACGCATGAATGCACATTGAAAAGGTCAAATAGGCACATAATGCATTAGT